GTATGGCACTTACAGACACAAGTGGAACACGACGACCACGCGCTTCAGCTTGACGGCCAACGCCAACGCCACCACCTTGACCTTCACCGAGGGCCCTACTACCAACTGTGGCAGTACGATATGCCATATTGGCAACTGTTTGGCCAATTCTATCGACCTTTTCATGCAGTGCCTGGTTCTCGGCCTGCAAATTACAGACAGTATCCAAGAGCGCGTTATGCTGTTGTTGTTGCTGCTGCCGATCTAGGATACTGTTCTGCTGTTGGGCATCATTTTCACGCTGCGCCATGCGCCGTTGTCGCTGGGCTTGGAGATTGCTAACAGTAGGCATCTATACAGTATTATACAACCTCAATCTCCCGACATGTCACAGCAGGTCACCAGCAAAATTTGGGACCCGCAAGAAATAACACTTGTTTTCTGCCATCTACATGAGAAATAACTGGAGTTATTGCCGTGCGGGTCACAAAATAATAATATTACTCTCTGTCCTTTTGTTTCTGACACCGTTGCTATGCTACTACCTGTCATTGTCATGTGTTCCATTTTCAAATTCATCTATATTATACTTGCGATTTCGCCATTACAACAGTAAATCTAAAACATATGACGGAAAGATATTTTACAACAAACAAAATATGTTTCATTTATTTCAAGTAAATAGTTTAAGTGGGTCTGCTGAACAAGTAGCAAAGGGAGAAAAGAGCTATCATAAACACCTAAATATTTTGGAAAATCGTTGTCGCCTGTTTGTTAAGCTCGTTTAAGCTAAGTCCAAGAGCATTGCGCCTTTCTTCACCCATTGCTGCTGCTGTCGTTTCCGAAATCCCTTTGGCAGAGGCAAATCGCTCGACCTCCTTAATGATCTTGATTCTGCGACTGAAGAACTTGCGATCGCCGTTTCTCCATTTTGCACCCCAACGTTGTTCCAGTGTTTTCACTGCATAGCCTCCAGCAAGCCCAACCGACCACTCTGCCCAAAGGTCAGTGACGGTCTTGATTCCCCGGCTCATCATGTAAAACGGTGGCTCACTCGTTGCATCAAGACCCAATGATTCGGAAGGTGCTGAACTCGGGATGGATGTAACTGTTGCTGTTGTTGGCTGCTGCTCTGGATGGTGCTGCTGTGTTGGCATTGGTGCTGCTGCTGCTGATGATGATGATGGCCAATTGATGCTTAGGTTTACCGTCGCACGGCCGGATACGAGGTCAGAAAGGTTCTTCGTCATATTTTCCATCTGCATTTGCATTGCATCTAACCGCGAAACCATTTCATTGTTCATCGTGCTCATGCGTTGCTCAAGGTGAGGTACGGCACGTTGCAAGAGCAGATCTTGAGGGGTGGCATCTTCTTGGATGGATCGTTGAAGATCTCTAATAGTCAAAATAGTAACAACAATAAGTACCATATTGATGATCATCTTGTGCATTTTTTAAAATCAATACTTACTCTTTGAACTGGATGTATAACGGCTCTCTGAATATATGATTGAGAAAAATTGGATGATGCGGATACTTTTCTTGCATAAGCACAGCGTCTTGAAGAAACGTAACGCGCAGAACACCTAAGAGACGCAGAAACCCGGCGGCAGCCACTTGATCAGGTCGAATTGTTTCCAGCCAGTATTCGACACGAGGAAAAATCTTTTTGCATAATTCTTGAGGAGGGTTAACGGCAGCACGAGGCAGAAAGAAGTGACCCTGTTGAGCAGGAAAGCCGGCCAAGACGCGCATGACTTCACGAGGAAGACTTGTCAAGTAAGCACCATTCATCGTAGTGTTGTTCCATCTGCCTAATCTTCTTATCTGCGCCTCGTCGGCACCATCCAAATCTGCCATCTTGCATGAGGATCCACGGGCGGCATGTGTCTTCTTAGAGGAGACAATGTTACATTTGGCAAACGCCTCGTCGATCGCTCGAAGTTGCTGCTGATATGAGATTTCGGTGGTGTTGGTGGCGGAAGGAGAGGTGCTCTTGAGCAAGCGGATATCATACCAATCTTGGTTATGAGTGAAGACGGGGAATGGTTCGTTTTCGACATGCCAACGCCAGAAAAAATAAAAAGAAAGAGCCATGAAGGGGCATATCTCGACGCGAGTGTTCCGGATGCAGGCGACAAGTTCCAGACGACCGTGCTTGTTTGTCTTTCCTTGCTTGATAATCATCATGAGGGAATGGCATTCGGACGGGCCTTCACGCTCCAATTCGACACTGTGCATATCGGGTAAGGTAGCCTTCCGTGCTGACTCGCTTCGCAACAAACAATAGTGAGAAAGCAAAAATGCGAGAGCATTGCGCAAGTGAGACCCTTCGTTCTTGGCCATGTAGTAATCGACAACGTCGGCAATCTGATCGGTGGTTGTATATCCATCGATCAATGTTCCAAGTGCACGTTCGTCGTAATTTTCACGTCGTTGGCTTTCTTCGCGGATTTGGACGAGGTCGATAAGTTCCTTGACAGCGCTACGTGGATGAGGATGACTATTGGCAAACGAACGAACTTGTTGCTGATATAAATCGACGATGGCGGCAACGTAGCTCATGAAAGTGGAAGCTTTGATTTTCTTGAGCTGGGTCGATCCTTTGCCCTTGCGACGAGCATCACGGTTCATGACCTGTTAATTGAGATTGTATAAGCTAAGAAGCAGTACAGCAAAACTATGATTTTGAAGTCGCACATTTCATAATTATTGTACATACCTCTTCTTTGAGAAACAAATGGAGCTTGTCGCCATAAACAATATAACGAGTTTCTGCAGGCAAATGCGGCATCATTCTATCGCACCATTGACGGTATTCCGTTTGCTTGTTGACATAGGTTTTCTTCGTGTTGGCTGGGCGTGCTTCAAGTGCTTCATGGTGCGTTTCATTCATAGATTCACGCATAGCCATTTGCGAGGCCTGATACGTAGAGGAGCTGGCAGTGGTGTTGAGAGACATAATTGACAAAGATGTGTTAGAAAAAAGTGTAGAGCTTGAAAAGTTGGAAATATATTGCAACTAAATAAAGGCAACATTTTTGAGAATAGTAAATGGTCTTTTATTTATATCATTTGTGATAGCAAAGAAAACACTGATGCTAATCTAATTGAGAATGAGTCAATGTACGTGTTATTGCATTGTTACTGCTACGCTCGTTGAGTCTAAGGATGTGTGTCATGTCAAAGGCATATGCAAGATGTGTCATAAATGATTCATAGCGGTGACCTAGCGGGTACTCAAATTTTTTCTACAATGCGATTATTGTGTGTAAGGTCACAATTTGGCTGGTGACTCAGTTTTGTGACCCAAGCCAATCCCCGAAGATAACTCCTTATTATTTTGTTATATAGGGTAGAGTGTCAAATTAATTTAAAGTAATAACTAATTGGTTTTGATTAGCATACTTTTTTAACATATCTTTTTGATTAAATTCATTAATAGAAATCCAACTATTATCATTGTCAGAATAATCTTTCCATTTAATCAAAAACTGATATTCATTATCAATAACTTTATGACCAACAATGCATTCAATTTCATATACCTTTTTATCATTATTTCTAAATTTATTTATATCAGTAACTTTATTTTTACCTTTATTTCTTTTTCTTTTATTTCTATTATATTCCTTTGGAACATCTAATTCAGAATCAGAACTATTATTATCAACATCCATTTCATTTTCACTAATTATAATATCAATATCATCATTTAATTCTATTGATAGTAATTTTTGTTGTAGTTCTTCAATTCGTTTGGTTTTTTCTTTAACTTTAATTTCATTTGATATAACAATATCTATCATTTTTCCTTCAATAGAGAAATTAAAACCTTTTGTTTCCCATAATTTATGATGAGATTGAATATTAATACCAAAGTCATCTACAAATTTATGTAAATTTTTAAATAAGCAAGCTACTTTAAATTGTAAATTATAATGCTTTATATCATGCATTTTTGTAGCCTTATGATTATTATTAAACCTATTAAATTTACTACCCAATACTGAAAATTCATTTTCGATAATAGATGTAAAACTTCCAAAAATATCATTATAATGTGTTTCATGATAAGTTAAATCAACTCCAATATCTTTTCTAATAGGATAAATAAAATTATCATCTGAGTATGACTTTCCTTTTTCTTCTGAAATTTGATAAAATTGATTTAAAAATAATGGATAACCTCCATCCATAGCTAAACAATCTGTAATATACAATTTATTATATAACTTCATATTTAAAAACATATTACCATCAGAACTTTCACTACAAAATTCACTTTTAGATACCCACAAAATCATTTCATTTATATCACAAATAATTTGAGTTCTACATCCAGGTTTTTTTAGCTTGTAGGAATATAATTTTTCCCTTTTAATATTTGTATTAACATAGTTGATTTTAGAATCATGTCCATCTATAATCAGTGTCACATGTTTAAATTGTTTAGGATTTCTTTTTAATGCACTATAAATTCTTAATTTTGGAGATGAAAACATTTTGGATAAAAATTCATCAACTTTTTTATTTAAAACTTTATAATTATCTATCCAAAACTTTTGATATATAGCATAAAAGGAAGAATATTTCATATATCTATTCATATATTGACCTGTTTCACCACATACTAAATGATATAATATTACTAATCCTTTTTCTAATTCACTATATGGTCCAGGATATTCACAAACACCATACAGCATAGTAAGGAAAAAAAATACTGCCACATAACCAATTTTATTTTTTAGTTCTATTTTAATATCATCAATAAAGTCTACATCTTTAATCTCTGTTCTATGCTTATATTTATTATGCATAATAGGCCAATTATTATTCAAAAATTGCCATTCATTTATAATAATTTCATTAACTTCATGATTAATATTATCATCAAATTTTTTATCCATCTTGTTTTTTTATTAGAAAAAAATTCAGTTTTTTTGATTTTTTTAATTATATTTAGTTGATAAGATATAATGGATTCTATCAATTCAACTGAGTACTATCTTTAACAACTAGTTGCCTATATCTTTGTCATCACAGCCATCCTCCACCATCTTGTCGATCGACGCCTTCATCTCGTTGGCGAGCTTCACCAGATCTGGTCTGCTTCCAGTCCTTATCTTGTGAGGTGGTTTGATTTCCGTGATCAACAAGCCCTGTTCGCGTAAACCACTGTATGCGAAATTTATTGACAGATCAGAAAATCGCAAGTCGGCTGAACCTTGGGCTTGTCCATCGGTTCTTTGCAATGAGAATATCAGTAGAATTACTTTTATACATTTTCTTTCCTGTGCTTACCCTTTTTTGTTGGTCTTCATGGTCCCCTTTGTAAATGGGAGCACGACAGGATAGTGGGTACTACATTACCTTGTTGGTTACAAAAACATAATTATTTTTATTAAAAAATAATTGTTTTTCAATGTTTAAATAAAAAGAAATATAATTGTTAGTAAACATAAATGTTTACAAAATTATTTATCTATTACTTCTAGAAATAATTAATGCCAAGGTATTTGTGTAACCACAAATATTTTTTTGGTACATTATTTCAAAACAATTAAAAAATCCAATAATTAATTATTGGTTTTTTATATTTTCTAAAAGTTTTAAAAAAGAAATGGGTTAATCCCATTTCTACTAGTAGAAATAAATAAAATTTATTTCTTAATTTATATTTTAATATTTGACCAATAAAAAAATGAAATTAAAAATTTCATTGGTAAAATAAAATGATCATATGATCATTTATTTTGGATATGATTTTAACAATGATAACTTTGTTTATCCAATACGTAAAAATATAAATGAAAATCTAACTATTACTGAAGAACATTTTAATAATACATTTGGAAGCTTTAGAAGTAAAATTGAAAATCAGTTTTCTGAAATTGGCAATAAATTTTATCGATTTAATAATAATAAATCAATTGTAAAAATAGATAATATTAAATTTTATAACCTCCAATTTCAAGTAGCTTGTTTATTAAAGAATATTACAAAATTCGTTGAATTATTTAATATACCTGTTTTACCTCACCATAAATTATGGCATAGTCATGATTTTGATTTTCCTATTGAAAAAAATTAATTGATATAGTTGTTAGTAGTAATAAACAAAATAAAGATAAACTTGATAGAATGGTACAACTACAAAATGATTTATTAAATATGACAGTATCAAATAATACAATGGTTATAGATAATGATAGTGAATCAGATGAATTAAAAAATAGTGAAAATGATAATGATATTCCTAATTTTAATGAACGTACTAGGAAAAGAAGAAGAAATATAAAAGGTAAACAGCGTGCAACTGCATCATATGAAATAGAAAGTATTGTTGGACATAAAAAGGAAAATTTACTAACAAAAAATTTGTTACCAATAGTTTTTATACAAAAACAGTTGGTAATGCATATGCGCCAAGTCAAGAAGCGATTACTGGATCCAGTATTGTTGTGCTTGAACGTCAGGGTCAAAGAAGCCAAAAGAAGTGATTGCCTTCCAAATGCATTTGACATATTCGTCCTCTTTGGTGTCATCGTTCTCTTCCAGTGGTTGTAACGCCATTTCACACTGCTCAAAGATTTCTTGAACAGAATCGTCCAACGAAGGGAAAACATCCCCTCCTACTGTTTCTATTTCTGCAAGCTCTTGCTTTGTTAGCAAGTCTTGCCAGCAATCATCCTTGGGATCGATTATGAATGAGTGGACAGTACTGTACATTATTCACATTTGCAAACCATTGTAAGAGTTTAATGTGGTGGGTAGTAAAAAATTTGGATGTCAAAATCTTTAGACTTACTACTCATAATCGCACTCCATTCCGTATTGAAACATAATATCTTCCAGGTAGACTTTGGCACCGTCTTCCTTGGTGCGCAGCAACCACTTTTTCTCTTCTTCCATGCCTTCGTAATCTTTTTTGAAGCGGTCTTTTGCTTCGGCCGTCAATTCCCACGAGCTACTTTTCGATGTCTGTGTTGATGTCGTAGGTCTGCTTCTTTTCGACGAGTACTGTTCCTTTTTTTTGTTCTGTATCTGTGTTTTGATGTCGTCCCAGTCGATATTTTTCTATTTTAAATAAATCAGTAAGAGGTTGCATTTGATAAGTTTCGTGTCACTCACATCTACTATGTTGTCGACGTTCAACTGCTTCGCTACAATTTGATATCGCTTAATCCAGATACGCTTAATATCTGCGCGCAAATCAGTGTTTGCAGCTACTTCATTACAGCGTGTGTAGAGAAAATCTCACAAAGAGGGTTCCTTTTCCGAGGCCATGCAGATTTTGACATATGTTTCGATTGCTAAGTGCACAGAGTACGATTAGTAAAGATTTTATTTGGAAACTGTTTCAACATACATTGCTGCGCTTTAAGTTCGCAATCAGTGCTAGTAGATGTTGCCATGGGAATAATGGTTGCCTTGAAAACGAAAGTATCCTTATTATGAGGTTTCTGTAAAGGTGGATTGGAAGGGCAGGAAACCGAATCTGAAAAATCGGGCAGGTCTATTTGCACACCCCCTCATGCACACCCCCAGTCACACCCAGGTAGGATTTCCGTTACACACACCCCGCTGACATTTCTTTCGTGCACACCCCCTCACACCCTTTTGACTGAAAATTGTGCAAAATATTTTGGTCATGCACATCCTTTATTAAAGTTACAGTAATGCAGCTTATTCCTGAAGCTATGCGAACTTGCAATAAAGAAATGATCCAGCATAAAGTATATGCTTAGATAGAAATATATATGAAACACCTCTTTACCTATCATCATTGTATATGAGTATACATAGGACGGACAGTTTTATTATGTAAAAATCCAGGAACATTTGATGTGATACAAACGCGCTTTTATTTATTAAAATTTCTACCTACCTCATTACTGCTCATTTATATGCAATGTCAAAAACAATGACCTCAATTCTAGAAGAACTTAGCACTACATGGGATGGATTCGATGCCGCAAAGACTGCCTGCTATGTATGGGGCAAAGAAAATGGTGTCTCGTTGCGTACTATTAGAAGTAATAAGACGGGAAATAAGAGGAAGCTCCAGATTGCTTGCAAGCATTATGGTGAGCCAGTCAACAAGGGCGTATGTGAAGAGCAGAAGACCACGACAAGACAAATGGTTATTGTAGATGACGAGGGCACGGCCATTGCATCATCCAAGGGTAAAAAGATCGACACTCGTCAAAGGGACTCTCAGCGGTTTGGTTGCAAATTCGAAATGATCCTTCGTCCTTTGAACCAGACCAGCAACCAATGGCACATAGTCTCTTTCTATGATGGCGGTCATAACCATGAGTTGGCAAACGAGCTTTCGTCGTACCCTATGCTCCGTAAACTCGATCACGATGAGGAGGTCGTTATGAATAGGGATCCGTATCAGAACCGTAGAACCGGAACCGAACCGAACCGAAACCGAGAAAATACGGTTCGGTTCCTACCAAGAACCGAACCGGAACCGAACCGGTTCTGTATACATAGAACCGAAGAACCGAGAGGCAGAAGATTGCAATCAGCGATTTTGGTAATTAGTATAAAGTAGGCTATAATGGAAGTTACGAACAATGTTATTCCGAAAAGACCACGAAGTAGTGTATTTGCAAGCCATACTTTATTGAAAACCTTAACAAAACCTGCAAAAGCAGAAGGGAGTGAAAAATAGTAAAGAAGAGAAGAGAAAAAAATAAAAAAACACTTCTTCTGACGGCAGCTTGCTTTCTCCGCCCATGACACACATCATTACTTGTTCCTCTACTTTGCTACCCACAATGCATTTTTCTCCATGACGTACTACTTTACTAGATTTATCATGGCTTCTCGATCAGTTTTATCAAGTTTGTGCATTCCGTTTGAGATTGCGCATTCTGGGGCTCATAACAGAATTATCTTACCCATTCACCCTTTGCCTTTTATGAGACACTATACACTATACACACGTAGAGACACAGCAGCTGTATGTACTGCCGGTTGTGGTTCAATTCCTCCAATGTTACGATAACATATTGTACTAGTAATACTAAGTCGCTCTAAGTAAGTACTATAAGCTCCACTTTTTTTTGTAAAAACTGTGCTTTAATCTTTTAACCATGCAATGACCCACATCGTATAAGAATGTTTACATTCTGTTTCTCTTATTCATTTTGAGATCGCTGTTCAATGTACAATAATAAACTATTCTTTTTTACTGCAGTATTCAAGTATACCGCGACATCTGAACACACACATCAGCTTTCATTTAAAGATACCGATTCTTGCCTTTTTTATATATATGATGGGTTCGGTTCTTCGGTTCGATTCTTCGGTTCTACGGTTCTCGTCGGTTCTAGTCGGTTCGGTTCTCGCTTTAGACGGTTCGGTTCGGTTCCCTTCAAGAACCGAACCGAACCGAACCGTGCGGATCCCTAGTTATGAAGATGGTACAGGCGCATGCAACCAACAAAGCTGTATTGTCGTATCTTGCCAGCAAGAACAAGATTGCTCATCCTAAGGACATCACCAATCTTCGTCAGCGCATCTTCAACAACGACCCAGATCATGCAATGTTCCAGCTAATCAAAAAGCTTCAAGAAGACGAGTACGAAGTCCAATGGAAAGCAAAACAAGAAGGCGACAAACGCTTTTTGCAGTCTCTCTTCTTTGCGCACAGATCGGCAATCGCACTCGCTCGCCAATTCCCGGAAGTTGTTACCTTGGACGCCACTTACAAGACAAACAAGCACCGGTTGCCATTTATCAACATTGTTGGAATGGCAATATCGGATATCCCCAATTGATGACTTTCTGCATTGCTGGCTGCTGGGTATCAGAGGAAAACAACGACAGCTACGATTGGGTGATTCGCAACCTTCAAACTGTCGTTTGGCCACTTGATCAGGTTTCGTCCCCTGGTGTGTTTGTAACAGACAGCGAATCTGCTTTGACCGGTGCTCTTGACCGCGTTTTTCCAACAGCGAAGAAGATCCTATGCAAGATCCTTATACGACGCAACTTCAGGGTCAACCTACGCAAGCTTTTTGATGTCAAGGACCATTACGAGGAACTGAAGAAAGCTATCAATTTTTTAATGGCTAGTGAGTATCAAGACAAGTTCAACGATATGCGATCCACGATTTCGAACGAGAAGCTCGAAGAAAAGGCAATGAAGATGTATGAGGAGGCTGCTCAAATAGCAAAAAGACCCGACGTTGTCATGGACTATTGGCAAAGGTGTGTAAAATTGAATAAGCACGGATTTTTTGACCACATGATACTTGGACTTCAACATGTTTTTTCGGTATACAGAAAGCTTGCTTCAAAAGAC